GTCTTTTTCTAAGCCTCATCCTTTATGCTAGATACTATTCATTAACAAAACATTCAATTTAATTCAGAGTTAAAAATACATTAATTTACAGAATAATGCACACAAGAGTAGCAGTCTTTGAGTACAGGATTTCAGGGTAGCTTCAGATAATTTATCTTTGGGACAGTATTATTTATACTCTAGTGTGCTTAATGTAAATTTCCTGGCACTGTAAAGCAAGAGTACAAAACCTTCAAACCTTCTACACAAATTCAGTGATTCATAGAATAAGTGCAGTAACATACCTGATCACAAAGCATCCTCCACAAGTATAATAAAACTGAACAATATGTATTAGGATACCAAACACATTGACAGTTGAATACATAAAAAAACTCCAATAAATTAAAAATCTGCTGTTAGTTGCTGCAACTTGAGAATAAAATGGAATTCATAAGTCAAAGGTTACTTAAAATTCACCATCAGCACATTCTACATGAAGCCATAAATGGCACATTATCACAGAAAAAATTGTATCCTAACAGTGCCCAGGCTGTGCAGTCTGTGTAGCAAAGCAGCACATTGTGCAATCTGTAAATATCTGATTTGTTCAGTGGTTTACTCTCTTGTTAAAAATAAGAGTGCTAGGCTTCAAAGCATGGCCTTCAGCTTGCGGTCACAGCAGCCTTCAACGGATAACTAGTGAAAAAACGTGACAAAAGATAAATCATCTACAGAAGGGACAGAAATGTTGGAATAACAAAGAAACCAAACTGTTTCAGTGAAATACAGAATTGGTTCCAGAATTAATCCTGGAATTTTCAGTTTGGACTTTCTAATACAAAGTTCCATTAATAAATACTAAAATTGAATAGACAGCATCATCTGCATCCACGGCAAGGGAAGAAAAGAATACATAGTCCTCAAATACACTAAAATGGCAATGATACAATAATGTTTCAAAATGTTAGATCAGGACTCAGAAACACATAAAAAAAGAAAATTAATTTTGATTTTTTTTCTGTAAACGTACATATTTATGCAAGTATACACAGATATAGACAAACAGGTACTTTTTCTGGCTCATTTTTAATCTATCAGTCATGATGTCTCTGTGTCTCTACAAAACTGATCTGACTCTTTCTAATCCTCTCCCCTTTTTTGTTACTTGAGCGTTGCTCTAGTGTTTCCTGTATGAAGCCTGATTAAACTGACATTAAGGACAAGGAAAGTACAAACTTTTCTGTTTGCTCTTAATTTTTGACACAGTGATGCAAGACTGCTCCTCACTTAAGGAGCTGCTCCTGTGAATCCTTCTCCAAAACCTTCTCTCATTTGGAGTAGCTGTTGTTTATTGATATGAGTGTTGGTCAAACAGAAATTACAAGATCAGGTATTCCCTTAGTTAAAGGAAGGTGAAAACGCCTTAAAGTGCCACCATGCCTTCCCCAACCCACTGACTCACACACTTGCCTCATCTTGTCAAACTACAAAAGCTGTGGCACTTGCATGGTTCTCCCCAGGTCCCTTGGGGCACCAGCAGCACAAAATGTTGCGCATTTATGCACACATAGGGTTTGGGGGATGAATACAGGGCAGAGAAAACTAATGAGACCTACAGGCAACACAGATCAAAACACTGACCGTACATCAGACTCTGCCAAATAGTACCACCAAACTGACTTTTTTTTTTCATCTTGGCCCTAGTTTGGAAGGCAAGAGAAAGGTAGGAAGAGCCTAGAACATTTACATTAAGTGTTCAGTTGAATGCCCCATCCCTGGAAGCATTCAAGGCCAGGCTGGACTGGACTTTGAATAACGTGCTCTAGTGGAAGTTATCCCTGTCCATGGCAGGGAGGTTGGAACTAAATGAGTTTTAAGGTCCCTTCCAACCCAGTCTATGATTCTATGAATGAGGTCTGCAGACAAGGAAAACAAGCTCTAAATATTCATCACATGTCTACATTCTAAGAAAGCCCTAGACCACTGCAGAGCTCTTAAGAATCAAGACTTTGGCCATAAAAATGCACTTAGCTGCATTTTACATGATCGTTGCACAATGCATAGCCCAGTTTAGCACTAAAAGACATGTTCAAAAATGTTTAGACTTAATGAGTATTAGAAGCATAAATATGCAGACACTTTCTTAAAAATGTTTACTCAGGTTGTAGTTGCCTGAGGAGATCACATACTGTGGAAAAACATCTCTTAAACATGGAGTGTCTATACTGTCTACAATTTTGAGTAGATCTTTGTTGAATAGTGAAAACCAAAACACAACAGCCCTCAAAAGCGAATTCTAATGAACATCATATGTACACCTAAAGCACTCCTTTCATAAATGTGAAAATCTACTAGAAGCAAGAGGAAAACAGACTGCATTACAAAAATAAACCCATTTCCTCTTGTATGTGTCCTCTGAAGCTCTCAAACATACTCCCTTGATATGCTGCTTCAGCATCACTGTTAGGAAAAATTGCTGTCTACATGATGCCATATTGCATCCAAACTAAGATGAAGGACATCATTTGCCATAGTGAATTAACGTATATGTCAAATGAGTAATCCACTGGGGAATCACAGATATGTGTTCTCACATTAAGTGATCAAATGAAGGGCTAAAGACAGCCTTTGAAATTGAAGCAATTTTGGGATTATTGGTTAACAATCTCAAACAATATTGCCTTCCTAATGAAGAGAGCTTACAGGGTCAAATCTGTAATTACCTTTTTTTTCCCCCAAATTAAAAACATCTTTTTAGGAAACCTTAATTAAATTATTTGTATATATATGGATTTATTTCCCACAAACATTTTATTTTTGTAGTGATGCTCAGATGCTTCTTGTTCCTGGAGTCCAAACCCAGTGAAAGCAATTGCTCTTTTATGAAGGCCATAGTGTCCTCAGACTGTAATTTTATTTTCTATGTAGTTCTCTGCCCATTTTTTAAAATATAGAATAGTTTTTTGAAGCTTTATGTCTTAATGGCCTTTACCTTACTACCTTCTGGTGGAAAGCTTCTTTGCCTTTTTTTTTTTTTTTAACAGATATCAGGGTTAGAGGGATAAACATTCATCTGACATACATTATAACTATTGGGATCATGCTCTCTAATGAAATAATTTGCCTTTTCGACATGGTGCTATCCTTACCTTGGACTGGTTTTTATTAGTACCATGAGAGTAGCACACCTAGCTCTATGACAGCTCTAGCAGGTGTGGAGATCTCAAAAATGAGTAACATGTAGTCCCATGGCTGATACTGTCATTACTGAAAGTGCAGTTCATGATAACTGCTGAGCAAGCAGAAGATAGCTGTTGGCACAGAAGAGGCCATGGTACATAGCAGCAGGGAGATTGCCAGGGGCTGCAGAGACAAGAAAAGGGCATGGAGTATGGGGCAAGGCTACCTTGCAAAGCCAGCCACATGCTGGGTCCTTAAAACAGGAAAACTGAAGCTGTTTCAGTTCCAGGGTATGCACTGGCCACAGGCTGAAGAATTTATATTTCTGGAAATGTAAGTTACTGGAAAAGGAAGCCTCTACCATTTGCTATATCCTCCTTACAGGTAATTCTGTCCACATATTTTGCTCCCACAATACATTCCTTCAGGATAGGATAGGATGGAGAGACAAAACAGAGAAAGACTGCAACAGGAAGACAGCCAAAACTGAAGATACCACTTACACCAGACATGGAAATCAAAAAGTTTCCCCACCCCATCACTCTTCTGCACTTTTATGTATTTCTTTACATTCAGTGTGGTCTGAGACTTGGGCTTCCCTGACACAGCCCCAGAAAATGACAACCCTAAGCTTATTAGACTTTTATGCTGGAATGGATATCCTTTGCAACAGATCTGCATCATCTATGTCTGGCACTTCTATCCACAGTGTCTAAGTACTACTGTTTTTTCCTGCCTTGCTTTCCATCACTGAAAGCTGATACTCCCCACCGAAGCATGATGACATACACGTAAACCACAGGATCCTTAATAATAATCGGAATTACAGTGCTTTCACCAAATGTTCAGAAGCCCCCTACATTGGCATATTGTACACAGTATACAGCCTCAGAATGAACAAAAGGCTTCTCTGCCGTGAAAATTCAATACTGTCAGCAATTCCGTAGGCAGAAGGAAAAGAAAATAGTTGGGAGGGGGCTGAAGTCAAACTCACTCGAAGACCATTCCCAGTGTTAGTGCTGGGAAGCAGTCCCTAGAGGAAGTCATGCAACAAGACCTTTCTAAAGCCTCCAATACTACCATTTCATACAATGCACATCGTGACAGAAAAGCTAAGTGATTTGAAAAAAGGTCACAAACCTAACTAACACATAACTGCTGTTACTTCAGCGTTGGTACCAAATAGGTTCGATCTCAAGATCATGTTTCTACAAAAAACTAGATAAGACATGTTGCTCAACTTCTGAAGAAACCAGCTATGTGTACACACACACCCCACAAACGGGCCCGTAAGACTAAATGCACATAGAAAAAGGAGGACAAAGGAATCAACCACAGAATTACAGAATACCAGGACAGAAGGGGACCTCAAGGATCATTTGGTCTAACATTTCTTGGTAAAAAAAAAAGTGTTAATTTCAGTTTTTTCTGTGAATTTGAAAAAGTAATAATAAATCAATGCACTGAAAATAGTTTTATTCACAAGTCTGGTTCAACTGTTATTTTTCTTAACCTTTGAAGAGTAGCTCCAGGAAATTATACTGGGCTAGAGATAAATCAGCTGTAAACAAACATAGGGAAAATATTCAACACAAACCAAAATAAGGATCTGAAGCAACAACCTCTGTGTGACCTCATTTTTTAAAGTAGATATACTTTTGAAATTACAATGATTTCAAATACAGTCTAAGCATGTTTCTGCAATAATCACAAGCATATCCAACAGCATAAGAACATACAGTAAAAAATAAACTTCTTTGAATAAGATTATAAGTATTTAATAATATTAATCTATAGCATCATTCAAATAATATTTTCTGACAATAATCAGAACTTACCATATTAATTGGGTCAACTGGGCCAATGCTGTTAACATAGACATCTGTTTCAATCACTGTCGTTCTCACTGAACAAAACAATAAGCATAATAATTACATATTTCATTAACTATGTACATTGTTAGAATCATTTAGCTTATTAAAATAACAACAAATCCGATAGTCTTTTATGAGATTCAGAATAATTAAATCTCTGGTTTGTTTATTCTGGGAAGGATCATATATGACTTGGCTCCCTATTCCATACGAATCGTTAGAATTGTCAACAAAAATTTTTTACTTCATAACGCAATCTCCACGAGTGCTTTTTGAACAACTAGATATAAAAGGCATAAAAAGTAAAAGAATTAAAAACCAAAAGAAAACAAATCCAAAATGTGTTTTCCAACATAAAAACCTAATCAGAAATAGAAAAAATGTTTGGGAAAAACTGCTCATACAAAAACCCATCAGGTCTGGGAGCAGATATGTTTATCAGCTGTAACGAATCCATGTGCAGTGCCTCCTGTTGATTCCTACTGAAAATATGTAACTAACTAGCTAACTAAATAAATAAAACCCAACAAAACCCACCACTTTTCACCACAGGTTTCTTCAATTCATGCAACTACAGTACCTAAGGACTACTAATGTCTTTTATTTGGCTTGATACACTGCTTCAAACACTAAACTAAAGCTCCTGAAGTTAAAGTAATTTAGAAGTTAAACATTTCAAAATGTATTTTTCTTTAAAACCACTCTCACCGGGCAGACAAAAATTAACTGCTTAAAAAATATACTTTCTTTCTTTGTGTACTTGCAGGAGGGCATAAAGTCTAAGTGACTTTCCATGAAAGTCACATCTGAAATACAGGTTGCACAGATAATTCATTTTTTTCTTCAAAACTGGTTTACGGGGGGGTGGGGGGGGTGGGGGACGGGACTAAGAGAAGTGGTCAGGATGCATTTTAACTTCATCAATTTACCAAACATTTTCTTCCAAGTACCAGTTTGTACTGGAGAGCCAAAATGGGGACACAAAAGTACATATGTCCTAGTCCCAGTGGAATTAAGAGGGTTAATAACAAAGCTCTGCTGGTTTTTATTTCATGCTGCGGCATGTTAAAATGAAGCATCTCTGTCCATCTGCAGGTGGAAAAGGTGTACGGTGCAAACAAAAAGGCACTTTGATTTCCTAAGAAAGGGACTGTATGTCTTCAGATTTGATTTCTTTATATTGCAAACGATCAAAGATCACACAAGTGCTCTATAACAAACCAAAAACCTTGAGAGGACTTTTCAGATCTTAGAAATCTAAAAATCAGACACACAGAAAGAAACAGGGTATCATTAACATCCTTGCCAGTTACAGTGACAGTCAAGATATATTTCCTAAATATCCTAAGATTCCTTTGTCCCACCAGTCTCACTTGGGAGGAAATTCTCCCTGATTCCAAATCCAGTCACTGAGCGTGACAGCAACACACACCGTTGAGGCTGCACAAAAGATTTTCTACACGACCACAGAGCACAGTCACTTGGTCACCATCCTGTCCCCAGCATGATTCATAGAAAGTTTAAACAGACTCTAGAAATCTATTTATTTCCTGAAGCAGGGGAGGAAAGGAAGTACTTCTTGAGCTGCAAATGTTTTCACCATCTGCAGGGCCCATAGAGGAATGGGGGCAGCACAGGAAGTCACATCCCCAGACTGAAAAAAATCAAAGAAATTATTAGTATGTAATACACGTGTGTTTATACATATATGTAAAATGTAATATAATTTACATACACCTTTATGTATGCAAATTACATACATAATGTATGTATTCCTTTAATTCTGCAACCATGTTTATCTATGTAACAGCAACCCGACTGCTAGAGTAGGAAACGAGGTGGATCAAAGTGCATCCTGCCTCATTGTTCAAGCAATGCTGAATTCACTATTTCTCTCCCTTATTAATAGGAAATGTTTAATTCTCTTCAGTGTTAGGACATCTTGTTTTGTTCTGAGGTTCAAGTCTTTTACTCTTGCTTTCAGCACTACCCAGCCATGTCTCAAACCTCTTCTTTAGATGCAAGTGCCTACACACAGTGCTTAAGGTCACCTCTGAAGTCTGCCTTTGCTGTCACTGCTTTACTATGCAGAATCTTACCTTAGAATATGACCCACAGGCTGCTTCTCTTTCCTCCATCTTCCCCCTCTCCCCCTCAGTTTTTGTATTTTCAGTTTTACTGAAGGAGCTGATTATTCTGCAGATACAGCCTCTTCCTTTCCAACAGTCTGTCATCCGCCAACTTTAGTACAGAAATTTATTGCTAAAATCATTCAAAATATCATTATTCTTGATCAAGACTTTCCTGTGAGACCCCATTATAGACAGCCCACTGATATTTACTTATTAACAACTAAATTTTTATATCTTTCATCAAGCCAGTTTTTAATGGGAACTTTGTCAATTTTATGAAATTTCAGCTTGCAGTGAGCAGCACTTGATCTGCCACAATGGCTATCCTGTAATGTGCCATGGCTATCCTGTAATGTTGCCTTTTCCATACTGCTCTGAGTAAGACTAGAAGAGCTATTAAGAGCCAATGAAGAGTCTGAAAATCTGCCTCAGTTGAAATTATTTTAATTGACCCAAATGATCCAATTCAAGAAGACTGGAACAGGATGTTCTGCTACCTCAGTTCTTCTGCATGGTACAGAGCAAAGTACTGTGAATCAGAAAAAAAAAGAGTTCATTCTTCTTGTGTTCTTGAACTAGAAGTGGTAAGAGTCATGAAAACAACAAATGCTGGAGGAAAATACTTTCCTGACATCCGTATAATTACTATTGCTCATTTACACTTCACAAAGAGCTAAATGAAAGATGGTTTCAGATTTTTCTACTGTGAATCCTTCTTATTTTACTTTAAAAGTTTTGTATCAACCTTGAAAATACTATGAGAAGGAAGGTGGCTATTTAACACATCCTGAAGTGCAGAACAGCACTGTAAACGTACAGAAGCTTCTAAGGAAGGAGAAAAAGGCTTGCACACTTTAAATATTTACACTGAAAGACAACATGAGGTAGGCTAGAGTAAAGTAAGAAGGTGAGAAGACAGCAGATTGCAACTCAACAGACAGAGAGAGCACCAAGGGGCAGCTGTCCCCAAGAGGTAGTTCATCAGCTCGTAACAGCTAAGTACACAGGGAACCAGGTTGTTAAGCCCAGTCTAGAGAGATCTACCCACATTTTCTGATTTCCTGTTTTGACATGTTTTCTTCGTTAGACTAAACTGTGGGAAAATGGATGACCCGAGGAATTACAGACCAGTCAATCTCACCTTTGTGCCTGGAAAAATTTGGAGCAGATTCTCCTGGAAGGCATGCTAAGGCACATGAAAAACAACAAGGTACTTGGTGACAGCCAGCATGGCTTCACTAAGGGGAAATCCTGCCTGAACAATTTGGTGGCCTTCTATGATGGGGCTACAGAACTCATGGACAGGAGCAGAGCAGTTGATGTCATCTACCTGGACTTGTGCAAAGCATTCATCACTGTTCCACATGGCACCTTTGTCTCGAAATTGGAGAGACATCAATTTGATGAATGAACCACTTGGTGGACAAAGAACTGGCAGGATGGCCACATGCAAAGAGTTGTGGTCAATGGCTCAATGTCCAGCTGGAGACCAGTACTGAGTGGTGTCCCTCAGGGATAGGTGTTGGGACCGGTCTTGTTCAACATCTTTGTTGGTGACATGGACAGTGGGATTGAGTGTGCCCTCAGCAAGTTTGCCGATGACACCAAGCTGTATGGTTCAGTTGATACACTGGAGGGAAGGAATGCCATCCAGAGGGACCTTGACACGCTTGTGAGGTGGGCTGATGCCAACCTCATGAAGTTTAACCATGCCAAGTGCAAGGTCCTACACCTGGATTGGAGCAATCCCAGGAACAACTACAGGTTGGGCAAAGAACTGATTCAGAGCAGCCCTGTAGAGAAGGACTTGGGGGTGCTGGTCAATGAGAAAATGAACATGAGCCGGCTTCAGTGTGCACTTTCAGCCCAGAAATCAACTGTACCCTGGGCTGCATCAAAAGCAGCATGACCAGCAGGTCAAAGGAGGTGATCCTGCCCCTCTACTCTGCTCTTCTGAAACCTCACTTGGAGTATTGTGTGCATTTCTGGTGTCCTCAACGTAAGAAGGGCATAGAATCCTGGAACAAGTCCGGAGGAGGGCCACAAGGAGCTGGAGCACCTCCCATATGAAGAAAGGCTGAGAAAGTTGGGGCTGTTCAGCCTGGAGAAGAGAAGGCTGCGTGGAGCCCTCATAGCAGCCTTCCAGTATCTGAAGGGGGGCTATACAGGGAAGGGACTCTTCACTAGGAACTGTAGTGACAGGACAAGGGGTAATGGGTTAAAACTTAAACAGGGGAAATATAGACTGGATATAAAGAAGAAATTCTTTCTTTAAGGGTGGTGAGGCAGTGGAATGGATTGCCCAAGGAAGCTGTGAATGCTTCATCCCTGGTGGTGTTCAAGGCCAGGCTGGACAGAACCTTGGATGACATGGTTTAGAGCGAGGTATCCCTGCCCATGGCAGGGGGTTGGAACTTGATGATCTTAAGGTCCTTTCCAACCCTAACTATTCTATGATTCTATGGTTTGACAGGTATTGACATCATCTAACACCAGCACGTAGCTGAGGACAGGATTGTCCCAAGAGATACAGTAAACAAAGTACTCTTAGGCCTCGAATTCAAGGGCAAGAATGAACTTCCAAACAAGCAACAAGACCTGGAAAGAAATCTCTCTCAGCAGGCATGTACTGCTGTCCTTCTAGTAAGAAATAATGCTGCATTACACCCAGGCTGTGGTTGGTTGACCCTGCCTGGATGCCACATGGTGACCAAAGCTACTCTATCACTCCGCTCCTCAGAGAGGGGGAAAGAAAATGTAACAAAAGGCTAGTGTGTCGAGATAAGGACAAGCCAATCCCTCAACAATTACTGTCATGGGCAAAAGGGACTTGACTTGGGAAAATTAGTTTAATTTATTGCTACAAAAATCAGAGAAGATAATGACAAAATAGAAACAAATCTTAAAACACCTTCCCCCACCCCTCCACATCCTCAATATTGCCATACAGCATGTCAGTCCACCTAAATTCACTAACTGGTTTCCATAGTTTACCACAATTCATCATTTTAGAATGAGGGTCTAACATACATCACCTTTTGGTATTTACTTTTCATGCTGTTTGATTAAACTAAGACTTTTGATAATTTTATTGAGTCTTATTTTTTATATGAACATGTTTTCTGTAACATTTTCTTCTTGGTGATAAAGCAGTTATTCAGCAAATGAATTACACAACTATGACATTCAGAAATAACAGGCCATCAGTTTGCTACAGTTTTCTATGGAATAACATAATTTTCACAACCAGTTATCTAAGAGTATTACTTATATGGTTACCTATACTGAAAATTCATCCTCAAGTGCCTACAGCAGGGTACCAGCTCCAACTCTGAAGAATTTTTTCAAAGTGATTTTGATGAAGACAGAGCCTTATTCTCTGCACTTCTTTTACCTTTTCCTTTAAAAGAAACCCATCTTTAGCAAATACTCCAACCACCACTTTTAATATTTCCATCATTTTTATGCAGTGCACACATCCAGTACCACTAACATTCACTGCATGTGCTCTTAAACATCTTGCTCTTGTATTTCAATTTCCTTCAAATCTTGCTAAATATTCTTAATCTTAGAAGTTATTTAAGTAAGACAAAGAGAAAATGACAAAGTGTGGCATTCTCCTGTTGAATTTCAGTATTGCCTCTGATGTTTCAATTTTATTTGGTTCTCCTTTATCATCTGCTATTGTGAGACCCCACTTGGAGAACTGTGTACAGTTCTGGCGTCCTCAACACAAGAAGGACATGGAGTTGTTGAGGCAAGTCCAGAGGAGGGTCACAAGGATGATCAGGGTGCTGGAGCACCTCCCATATGAAAGCAGGCTAGAAAATCTGGGCTGTTCAACCTGGAGAAGGGGAGGCTGCATGGAGACCTCATAGCAGCCTTCCAGTATCTGAAGGGGGCCTATAGGGATGCTGAGGAGAGACGCTTCATTAGGGACCATAGCAATAGGATAAAGAGTAACAACTTCAAACTTAAACAGGGGAAGTTTAGATTGGATATAAGGAAGAAGTTCTTTACTGTAAGGGTGGTGAGGCACTGGAATGGGTTGCCCAAGGAAGTTGTGAATGCTCCATCCCTGGGAGTGTTCAAGGCTAGGCTGGACAGAGCCTTGGGCGACATGGTTTAATGTCTGGTGTCCCTGCCCATGGCAGGGGGGTTGGAACTAGATGATCTTAAGGTCATTTCCAACCCTAGCCATTCTATGATTTTATCTCCCTCAAGTAAATGGATGTTTAGCAATGAAATCCCTTATCTTAATCTGAGATGCGGAAATTCCATGTCAAAATCAAGAGGAAAACAAAATTCTGCCCTGGTATGCAAACCCAGAAAGTTCAGGTTAAAAAGAAAGAAAGAAAAAAAAAAAGAAAGAAAAAAAAAAAAAGGAAGGAATTTTTGTAACTATTGTAAATGAGCTTCGTAATTCAATAGTAAAAATGTTCTTTAGAATTAGAATTCCAGTTCAATAAGCTTGTTGTACAAGTACTGACATATACACTGAAGATGTGGAATCTGACACCAGATTTTATCCATATAATTGAAGCAGACTAAGCTGAATGAACTGAGTTTTGTTTTACATCAAAAGAGTGAAGAAGGGAAACAAAGGGAGCATTTATGTGAGAGAAGCCAGAACTAAGTGTCTTCCTTCAGGAACTGATTATTTGGAATCCAAAATGCTGTATACTCACTTACTCACAAAAAGGCAGAGTTCTTGCCCTATGTACAGTTCAGTACATAATCAGAAAAGTGAAGGTAAGGATTACACCATAATTCTTCCATAACGGTCTAAATCTATTGACAGCTCAGAATAAACACTTCTTCCTCTATTTTCTCTCCATTTCTTTCTTAATTTTAGGGGGAAAGAAGAAAAACAGGATTCTCTTTTCTTTCATCCCCACCTACCAGCTAATCATTAGAAGGCATTCTAGAGGAGACAGTTTATTCCCTTATAATGCCTTTGCTGTCTGTTGCATAAAGCAGTCAGGGGAAAAAGAAAGAAAAAAAGAAATACTGTACAGCTGTCACACATTGAGAACCTGGAAGACCTTTCCTGTTGTCTAAATATTTGCAGTTATAAAATTAAATGAATGTGAAAGCAAAACTTACAAAAAACTTCATGAGATTCACATGTGGTTATATTATGACAGTGAGAAAAAAATTGCCATTCATCATCTTCAGGGTAATAGTCAACAATAAAAGAGAACTAAGAAATTCAGGGAAGAAAACAATTTGACAGAAGCTTTCAAAAGAAAATACTTAGTTTGAGATTGCATCTCTGTTCTCCTACATAAATGAAACAAGTCTAGATTGTTGTATTATCATATAAACAGCTTAAAGACTTACATAACATTACTTTGATAGGGAATGCCAAGTATTTAGCAAATAATTATGTCCTACACTTCTTCCTTCACAGTTCAGGAAACAAACTCAGAAAATAAATCCTCTTTTCTACTTTGATCCAGCATGCACATGGTAGACAAGAGCTGGCAAGGTTTCACATATTTTATGTTTTCAACACAAGATTCTTCCAAATATTTATACTTAATAACTATATGCAATTTGATGCTCTCACTATTGAAAGACAAAACTGCTTTCCTGCTAGTGCAGTCTGACATTTGGTAATGCAGTCTTCCTTTCTGTATTTGCCAGAAAAGATATAGTCCAAAGTTATATTTTTAGATTCTTATGAAGTTTTTCAAAATCTGCGTGAATGGAAGAAGTGGGTTGAGTTAATTTTGCTCAGAATACACACTTACAATGCACTTTCTACAGCAAGAGTAAAAATATCTAAGAATAATCTTTAATAACTCCTACAGACTCAAGACCAATTTTTTAAATAATCATGTTTGGTTTATATCTACAATTCTTTCTGCCGGAAGATCTTAGTTAAACAAAGCAAACTATAATTGTATTTTAATGTTTTATTATAGATTGCCTAATGTCCACAAAAATCAATGCTTTACATAAAAAAGACTGTAAATAGAGCATTAAAAAAAAATCTGCTCTTGCGTAGAACATTATTTTTACCAGTTCTAGAAGGACACTGAATTTTACTGCTATTATATTTAGCTTGCTATATTAAGTTTTAAAAATTGTATTAAATCAATTTTTGCCATCTGTGATAAAATGCACACTATCTTGTCACGTTTTCTATTTACTGAGTTATTTTATTGGCTTACCCCCAATATCTGGCCGAAGCTTATTGTCATATCCTTGAAGTAAAGAGTCCAGTATGTGAGTTACATCCCCTCCGTGAATCTTTGGTGCAAGTACCCATGTTTTATTCACTGTTAGATCTTCATCATCTTCATCATCTGCTTTATCAGCTCTATAGTAAATTAATTTAAAAAAACAGGGTTAGGGAATAAACAAACAAAAAAAACCCCAAAACCATAGTGAAACTAAATACACAAGAGGTGAAGAAGCATCTGATAAAAAATTGAACAGTATTTACAGTACTTTATAAAAATCTAAATGCATTCGGGCACCAAAAGAAAGAGGCAGGCTGCTTATTTAAAACACCAACATTTTATTTCATGGCAGTAGAGAGTGTAAGCAAATAAACATGTCAAGAGAGTCATTAACACATCAACCATTCAGAAAAAATCCAGCCATGAGTCAAACCCATAAAAGCAGCAGTAGGCATACCCTTCCTGTCAGCCTTTTCCTGTTTTAAAACACAAAATGTAATTCACAGGCTTCTTCCTACATGTATTTCATTTTCAAATCATGGTGATAATATTTCTAAGAGATACATAATCATGGTAATAGACACATCTTGGTGTCAAGAACATTCAAAGAACTTCCTTCCCAGTAGCCTCCATTCTAGCTATGATATAAAAAGTAAGACTTGCATAACTTATTCAACTCTATTCAAATTTTAAGAAAGCAAATAAATATAACATCCATGTACTTTAAGTAAACATTCACAGCATGTGTCAAGTATCTGAATGTATACATGGTACAGTTAAAATGCTGTTCCATTCCTTTCAGTCAGTAATATTATTTGTTAGCTACCTATTTTATCAAGATGAAACAAATGTACATGGAGAACACTTACACATTTTTTTACTGGCTATCTTTAGATAAGCAGCAATATATAATCATTAAGTCACCAGAAAAAAACACAACTTGAAGTAGCTTGGTTGCATCTGAAGATTCACTCTCATATCACTGAAAGGTCAAAGAATGCCTGGAAGTACTTTTCTATTTAAATCCAATGAGTGTGGACTTAAGTATTCCTCCACTGCTAAGATCTGCAATCTGTATTACTCATCCAGTTTATTTCAGGGAAACTGCTAAGGGCTTCAAGTAAAGCAAAGTGCATTAGACTGATAGCACTAACTCTGACAGTCACAACCTTATCTTCACAAATGGACACTGGCTAGCAATTATTACAAATGTATGCAAGCCATATAAATCAGTTCCAAGGTTAGCATAAGCTAACATTCCAGTAAAAGAAGGGAATTAAATTACTGTTGTTGTACCAATCTGTATTGTACACCAAAACTAAAAATGTTACAGTTATATTGTCAGAAAGGGATTTAAGTGTTTCTAAATTACACAGACACATGCTGCCCTCAAAACTAGGGATGGAATCATTCACTACTTTTCCTACAGGAATGAAGATCACCAGCATGTTCCACATGGAGACAATATTACATCTCCAGGGAGAAAGGACAGAAAAAGTCAGAAAAGGACAGAGACGGGGTAGGCACACCTGGCTTTAACTGTACTCCTTTGAGGGCATGTACCAAAACAGTCTGTATTCATAAGACGTCGCATCACCTCAGATAACATTAGCAAGTCTCACTGAGAATCAAGACTACCAAGGCTGTGGAAACTGCTCAATGGTTTTGGCACACCTGCTTAATTTGGGAAGTCCAACAGTGAGATTGACACAGCTCAACAGGTTCCCGGGGGATGAAGAAAAGGCACTGCTTAGATATCAAGATTTTCGTACCTAGCTTGCTGCAAACCAGTTGCAAGAGGCTGTTACAGCTAAAAGTGATATGCAGTCTAAATACAAGTTTCACTGACAGCTTTCCCTGTAACAGTCTGAAAAGCACTTTCATTCTTTAAAGTTGAAATTCACTGTAAAATACTTAAATCTTTACTGCACTAAACAGACATTATAGTAATGTCAGATCTTAAATATTTAACATTTCCCATCAGTAGGATCACGATAAAGGGAGCACTAAAAGAAGTAGGAAGCTAAGTTTTTTAAATGTACGCCCTTTTTTCCTCAAAGACACTTACAGCTATCTCTTTCATGTTTTCTTACCATGCAGCTTTATTTTTTTATACATATTTTGTCTGCTTGCACTTTATGTCATCTAATTACTACATAAATTAGCTTACAGTTGCTAAGAGTGCAGAGGCAATCCCAGTTTTTCCCCAGGGGCACCAAGATGATGATGAGTAAAAATTTATAAGAAGCTCTCTGAGGAAAAGCACACTACAAAGCCAACATTTTCTTCCTTTTTTTTTAGTCTTCCATTCCACAAACAGCAGAAAGTACAGTGAAACTACCAGAGTTTTGTACAGAGCCAGGGTACCTGACTCTCAGGATCAGACCAATTGTTTGCAGAGAATGTTAAGTGATAGTGACACAACTTTCCCTGCTTCAATGTTCTTTCCACACTGCTATTAAGAACAGCACAGATTTAGCAAAAATTAAAAGCACAAGAGGTCATGCCATTCCCACCTAAACCCAAGAGGACTTACAACCATGATACCTTCACCTGCAGTCACTCAAGGATCTGGACTTTTTGGAGAGTTCTTAATTTTATTTATAGATTCACAGGACAACTCCAGTGGGAAGGGATCATGGGAAGTTTCTAGTCCAGCCTCCTGCTCAAAGGAGGGCCAGCTCTGAGGTCACAGCAGGTTGTTCGGAGCTTAACCAGGTTGGTTCTTGCAGAGCTGCAAGGACGGAAATGCACAACCTCTCTGAGCAACCTGGTCTCAGGTTACAGAAAGCTATTAATAATGCAGTTCCAGGGAGAGAGTGAAAAAATCCATCCTGACATCCAACCGCTTTACCAGCCACAACTAGCTAAATACATTTAAGAGGTACTTCTATTAAAGGCAACATTTCTTAGTGTCTGACAAGTCTTAAAACATTAATTTCGCATTTACACAGAACTATCTGGTTTTATCTAGAAAACACCATACATAAAAAAGTGACAACTGCTAGAATAGAAATACACTAGACTTCCACACCAGTTAACACTAGGTTAACAAGAGCTTGCAGTTCACTAATCCATTAGCTAAACTAACAAAGGAATTAATACAAATTAGGAATTAGTGTAACCAAATGTGAAGCACCAGACTATCACTGTTCTACACAGTGAAAGGAGCTATTCTTATTCTCTCTGTTCCTATCTAACTGGCCATTTCAGAGATGACCGACAGTGATTAACTCATCTCACCAGCAGAATACCATCTTTTTAACTCTTCTTTAAAATGCACTCAAGATAAGCATGCATCTCTGCAGTGCTGATGGTATCCAGTTTTACACTTCTGATTTCTAAGCCATAATCACCAACATGCTGCCACAGGACTGAGCTAAGAAACGAATGATGCTCGCTGGAAAAAGGGAGTGACCATAATTTACAGAAAGTCCTCTTTACTCCCTTCAGTGAAATTGAGCACACAACACCTGCTAGCTTGAATTCTCAATCCAGATGTTTTGAGGGGGAGTTGCATAAAGATCTCCCAAAAGAGCACCCAGACTCACACAGACGAGGGAAGAGACACTGTGGACATACTAATTTCATGGAATCTGAACTACTAATCTTTGTCACAGTAAATAGGTTTGAACTACACTGTTTCTAAGGTAGAAATCCCTGCAGATTTACATTGTCAGCAATATCAGCTGAGATGGTACTATCAAGAGCTAATAAAGGTCTCTAGACCATGTTCCTTAAGAAAAATTTTCATGCTGGAAAACAAGATGGTTCAAAACTGTTGGCCTTTCACCCAAGTTTCTGTGTGTCTCACATTGCAAAGGACAGTTTTATCTCCAGAACTTCGAATAGGGTAGAAGGCAGAAGAAAGCAAACTTCATTCCAAACCAGATAATGACAAATTCAGGTGTATTGCTCAAATACTCAGCGACACATTTACTTGGGCTGAGCAGGTTTCTACTTTGCAGTTAAAATAAATCTACAAACCCACAAAGATTAATGACAATTAACCACTCTCACTTTAACAACAGCACTTTCCCCTCTCTCTCTCACAACCCAGCAAGAAAGACAAACTTAATTGAAAAGGAATTCTTTTCCTTTCTAAGTTTATGTAAAGGTTATGTCACGATACATTGTCTCCATTTACTGTAAAATACGTTGGGTTTTTTTCCAACAAAGTTCACTCAGTGGGTCTTTTTAAGAATGTCTTGAGACATGATGATTTAGAACAAAAATGCGACACAAACCATGAAAATATTTTTGTTCCACGGCACGATGCTAGCTTAAATCTATTACTACAGGTATAATCCTGATTTTAATGATTTTATAGACAGGAAAGAGACCTTACTTCTTTACATGCTTGCTATTGTAACATTTCAGCTATAGCCTCATAAACTCAACAGTTAAACTCCATGCATACAGCTAACAATAATTGGGCAAAACGTGCCCTAACTATGCTCTCTGTCCTTCAACTAATTGGAGACATTACCATGACTAACAAATCCCTGAGCACAAGTGACTACTGACTAAATAAGTCTTTTCAACACCATGATCATCTTCAGACTTTAATATCACAGGTCTTTGTTTAACTATGAGAAAAAACAATCAAATGAGCTGTAAGTTGCAATTAACATAAATCAGGTTATGTAAGGCATTAAAAGAAACCCAAAAGTATACAGTGAGAGCTCCAACTGCTATTTGCACGATGCATATCAAAGTATTACACAGAGAAGTACAGAGCATAGCACAGGTGGGAGTATTTAAACACAGCTAATAATCAACTTAGTTGACCATTCCCGGGCTCTTATTCCCACCCAACGTACCCAAGGGTACCCAGTCCTCCAAGTGGAGTCGATTTATGGGAAACATAGACTTACAGAGAAGCAGTATAAACTGGGCAGTGAACCTTAGTTATCTCCACTGACACTTTATGCCTGTGCTCAAGCAACTCAGTCAAGCCCCCAGCGGCCATGAGGTATAACTGACCCTGCACAGTGGCCTTGGCTGTTTGGAGACAGTCTTCCTTCCATACAAGGAATACTCTAATGATCATTTAATAAATAAATAAGAAGGAAAGTCAGTGCTTCAGATAATTTCTATACTGAAAGAGCTGAAAGGAACACAGAATCATAGAATA